TACTATACATGTCAGTGACACTGGTCTGTAGTTTTATGCTTCATGTCTGTCTCCTTTTTTAAAGATTGGGACTACATTTGCTGTCTTCCATGCCTCAGGCAATCTCCCTGTTTCGATAGATGTATTGAATATTGTTGTTAGGGGTACACATAGCGCCTCTGCTCCCTCTCTCAATACCCATGGGGAGATGTTATCTGGCCCCATTGCCTTTGAGGTATCTAGCTCACTCAGAAGCCTCTTCACTTCTTCCTCGGTTGTGTGCACTGTGTCCAGCACTTGGTGGTGTGCCCCACCTCTCCGTCTTTCTGGAGTCCCTTCTGTCTCCTCTGTGAACACTTCTTTGAATCTCTTGTTGAGTTCTTCACATACTTCACGGTCATTTCTTTTTTGTCTCTCCTCCTTCCTTCCTTAGCCTGATTACCTGGTCCTTGACTGTTGTTTTCCTCCTGATGTGGCTGTACAACAGTTTCGGGTCAGATTTGGCTTTCGCTGCTATGTCATTTTCATATTGTCTTTGGGCCTCCCTTCTATCTGTGCATATTCGTTTCTGGCTCTACGACTGTTCTCCTTATTCTCCTGGGTCCTTTGCCTTCTATATTTCTTCCATTCCCTAGCACACTTGGTTTTTGCCTCCCTGCACCTTTGGGTAAACCATGGGCTCATCCTGGCTTTTTCATTATTCCTGTTACCCTTGGGTACAAACCTCTCCTCAGCCTCCTTGCATTTTGTTGCTACATATTCCATCATCTCATTAACTGGCTTCCCTGCCAGTTCTCTGTCCCACTGAACCCCGTTCAGGTAGTTCCTCATTCCTGTGTAGTCCCCTTTCTTGTAGTTTGGCTTCATTCGTCCTGGCCTTCCTGCTTCTCCCTCCACTTGTAGCTCTACTGTGTATTCGAAGCTTAAAACCACATGGTCACTGGCCCCAAGGGGTCTTTCATATGTGATGTCCTCGATATCTGCACTACTCAAGATGAATACTAAGTCCAGCCTTGCTGGTTCATCCTCTCCTCTCTCTCTTGTAGTGTCCCTTACGTGTTGGCACATGAAGTTTTCCAGTACCACCTCCATCATCTTAGCCCTCCATGTATCTTGGCCCCCATGTGGGTCCAAGTTCTCCCAATCGATCTCCTTGTGGTTAAAGTCACCCATGATCAGGAGCTTTGGCCCTGCATGCATGAGCTCTTCTGGCCACTCTAGCCAGTGTGTCAACCATCGCTCTATTGCTCTCGTCGTACTCTTGCCTTGGCCTCCTGCTGTTCTGTGGTGGGTTATACATCACTGCTATTACCACCTTGGGACCTCCAGAGTGAAGTGTTCCCGCTATGTAATCACTTTCTTCTCACTTTCAAAATTCCAGCGATTTTTGATCAGCAACGCCACTCCTCCACCCCCCCCCCTGTTCCCTCTGTCTTTCCTCAGGATTTGGTATCCCGTTGGAAAGATGGCATCTGTTATCATACCTGTAAGCTTGGTTTCTGTGAGAGCTATGATGTCCGGTGATGCTTCTTTGACTCTTTCATGCCACTCCTCCCACTTATTTGTTATTCCATCAGCGTTTGTGTACCATACCTTCAGTTTCCTTTCCAACACTGTGGTTTGGGGGACTGTGAGGGTGGGAGACCTGGTGTGTGTGTGTGTGTGTGTGTGTGTGTGTGTGTGTGTGTGTGTGTGTGTGTGTGTGTATGTGTGTGTATGCATTGTGTATGTGTGTGTATGTATATATGTGTGTGTGTATGTGTATTTGTGTGTGTGTGTGTATGTGTGTTTGCATGTGTGTGTGTATGTATGTGTGTTTGTGGGGTGTGTGTGTGTGTGTGTGTGTTGTGTGTGTGTGTGTGTGTGTGTGTGTGTGTGTGTGTGTGTGTGTGTGTGTGTGTGTGTGTGTGTGTGTGTGTGTGTGTGTGTATGTGTGTGTGTATGTGAGTGTGTATGTGTGTTTGTATGTGTGTGTGAGTATTGCGGTGTCGCTTGAGGGATGGAAAGTGGTGTGGCCGGGGAGGTACTGAGTATGAGTCACACGAGCACACGTACATAAACGTGCACTCACAACACACACACACACACACACATACACACACACACACACACACACACACACACACACACACACACACACACACACACACACACATACTAGGGTGTACGCCCATCACTAGAGACAAGCAGGAGAGCTACCACAAAGCTAGGAACCTGCAGAAACCTTCTCCACAAGTGAGAAAACACTCAACTAAACAACAGTATCGCTGTTATAAATTTCCCTACAAAGTAACGGAGATGTCAACGAGTGACTCAATCAACAGCTTGAAAACCCAGACTCTGATATACAAACAATATGGCTTGAGAGAAGGGGAAAATATTAATTAAACTTTTACAACGAAGATGAAGAGGAAAGTTTTGTAAAGAGGAAATTATAAGATGGAAAAGATTGTCCATTCCAGACTAAGGAAAGGAACTGGAGAGTTAGATACAGATAGGATCAGAGACGAGAGTGTCTCCGAGAGTGCTCTAAAAAAGAGACTAGAGTGAACTCTGAGGGTGCCAACAGGGGCTCAGGGGACTGAGAGGCTATAAACAGAGGCTACAGGCTCTGAAGTGTTCAAACAGAGGCAGAGTGACGGAGAGTGCTATACAAGGCTGGGAATGACTCTGAGAGTGCAAACAGGGGCCCACAGGTGACTCTGAGAGTGCTCTAACAGAGGCTACAGTGACTGAGAGTGCTATAACAGAGGCTAGAATGACTCTGAGAGTGCTATAACAGAGGCTACAGTGACTCTGAGAGTGCTCTAACAGAGGCTAGAGTGACTGAGAGTGCTATAACAGAGGCTAGAGCACTGAGAGTGCTATAACAGAGGCTAGCACCTCTGAGAGTGCTATAACAGAGGCTACAGTGACTCCGAGGGTGCTAAAACAGATACTAGAGTGACTGAGAGTGCTCTAACAGAGCAAGTGCAACTGGAAAAAAAAGCACATCGAAAAATTTAATAAAAGCTACCACACAGGCCTTTTTTTTACGTACCATTCAATTTTTTTATGCACTTTGCAATTGCATTTACGAAAACAAAATCGCCCTTTAAAGAGTTTCGTGAGAATGTTTGCTCTGTAAACACAAATGACTGATCAGATTAAAGAAAATTCCTATGGCCCTTTTTATTGAATGACGCATTAAAAACAATGATAAAAGTATGAAGAGAAGATAGGACAGCAACATGCAACAGGAAGATGAGAAAATCTCTTGCAACAGGAAGATGAGAAAATCTCTTGCAACAGGAAGATGAGAAAATCAGAATGTGCAACAGTTTGGAGTCTTTATTGGCGAAACATTTCGTCAGTGAAGATACCTGAACTACGAACATAAATACGACTGATCTATATGACGTACGACTGGTCTGTATGACGTATTACTGATATATATGACGTACGTCTGATCTGTATGAAGTACAACTGATTTCTATGACGTACGACTGATCTCTATGACATACGACTGATCTCTATGACGTACGACTGATCTTTATGACGTACAGCTTATCTGTATGACGTACGACTGATCTGTATGACATACGAGTGGTCTATATGACATACGACTGACCTATATGACGTATGACTGATCTGTATGACGTACGACTGATGTGTATGAAGTACGACTGATGTGTATGACGTACGACTGGTGTATGACGTACGACTGATCTCTGTGACGTACGAGTGCTCTACATGACGTACGACTGATCTATATGACGTACGACTGATCTTTGTGACATATGACTGATCTGTGACATACGACTGATCTCTATGACGTACGACTGATCTCTATGACGTACAACTGATATATATGACGTACGACTGATATATATGCAAAGGGTAGACAACAAAGATAGTTTAAGAGCTAACGCGTATGAGCTGTGAGGAGAGGCTAATGGTACTGAATCTGACTACATTAGAGGACAGAAGAACCGGGGAGACATGATAACAACATGCAAAATACTGAGGAAGTGACAAAGTGCAGAGATAGTGCTTTTAAGAGTTGGAAAATACATATACAGGGTCATAGGGATGTTAGGAAGTACTTATTCATCCTGAGAGTGATCAGGAAGTGCCTGGATCTCGCCGAAGTAGTGGAAACAGGACCCTTACATAGTTTTAGAACAGGTACGATAGGGCCTGCGAGGTTAGCTAGGAAGGAGCGAATCTAGCAAGCGTCAAGTTGAGAGGCATGGACAGGAGCTGTAAATCGACCCCTGCGTGTGTGCACACACACACAAACACATACATATACATTCAAACATACACACACCTGACCAGCAAACAAATAAACACGGGCTGGCCACGCGTCACCCTGCCAATGGCCGCCGGCGAACATGAGAACTTGAATGTTCAGGTTGAACCCGCGCCCTCCCGCGCCCCACTCAGCTGACTCACTGCCCGCCAAAACTAAGTAAAACAACACCAGCCTCATCGCTACCATCTCTATCATCTACACCCAAGAAATTATCCCTAGCGACTTTATTCTTCAAATATTTAATCTTGCTTTGTAGATTCAAAGTGTGACACAATCGGAAAGTAAAGAGAGAGAGTGAGAGAAAGAGAGAGAGAATATTGTGACCTAACTTCTCCCGCGGTTTGTTTACCCGAGTTGAACACAAATCCAGAACACGTGTACTGGTGGCTCCTGATTGGCTGCCGCTGCCGATCAGACACGTAGCTCCTCCCCTCACACACTCTTGCCATCATCCAACATTCATAACACAATATATATTCTCCTGCTTCCGAGTTGACACCAGAACTTCTGGTCCCAGTAAGAGAAAGTGTCAATTTCTGCCGATGTATGCCAAGGTAAAAAAAATCTCTAACAATCATAATAAAGCGAGTAAATGTAGAACGAAATGAAATTGGTAAGTTATACGCCTGGGCGGTGTCTGGCAATGGCCTGCGCGCGCACACTTGTCAGTCATTAGGTTATAACCTGTTACACACCAGCATCCTGCCATCAGTTTACACGGTGATGTAGGAGGGGATAGACGTTCAGCCACTCGCGCTCGGATACCACCGTTGAGATGTTAAATTTTTATGTAACGTGTGCCGTGCCATTCGGGTATATACAAGATATAGACTTTGACAGTGAGGGTATACAGTCGGATATGCTCTGGCACAACCTGGAGACTCGCAGAGGTAAGTGACTTCAATTTTTTTTTTTTTATATTTCTTATTTTGATCTGAACGAGTACGCAGTTGTTCCTATGGACTTGACTTGCGACTGATGCTGTAATCTTGGCCACGAATCAAGGTTATGTACACTGAGAGATGTATTATATCTCTCATCATATAAACATACTAAGAGTTTACGTGTTTAAGTATTCTTGACTGGTGGTATACAGGTGACAGCCAGTAATTAATGACCCTTCGTCTAGCTGATAGACTTTAAAGCCCAGTAACCAACCAACGGTATATCTATGTTAACTAATGGTAGCGTATGGTACCAAAATAAACATACCAGCGTGGGATGAAGACTGTTGGAGGCTCGTGATGACAGGTGAGACAGTGAACATATATGTGTCAACTCCGCAGACTTTTCCGGTTTTTTTTTTTATACCCCACGCTCAATCAACTCCCAAAATGAGTAGGGTGCCACCCATGAGAGGTAGTCCTCAAGCTCACGGGCCAGGGAGTTTTACATCTCTCCTGCCCTGGTTTCGAGTCCTGCCCGACGCTGTTGTGCGATTTGTTGGAAATTGGGTTTTTTGCGATTTCGTTCGCAAGTCTTGCGAACCATTGTTATTTCTGATGCTGTGAAGTGATAAGTTGTGAGGAGCCATATTGTGAGGTCCCATGTTGTGAGGTCCTATGTTGCGAGGTCCCGTGTTGTGAGGTCCCATGTTGTGGTGTCATGTGGGATCCCATGTTGTGGGGTGTCATGTTGTCAAGTCCCAAGTTGTGAAGTCCCATGTGAACTCCAATGTTGTAAGGCGTCATGTTGGGAAGTCCCATGTTGTGAAGATTCATTTTGTCAGGACCCATGCTGTGGAGACCCATGAGAACCCATATTTTGAGGGTCATATTTCTTCACATGGGTCCTCACACTAAGGGTCCTCACAATATGGGTCCTCAAAACCTGGGTCCTCACAACATGGGTGCTCACAACATGGGTGCTCACAACATGGGACCTCACAACATGGGTGCTCACATGGGTGCTCACAACATGGGACCTCACAACATGGGCCCTCACAACATGGGTCCTCACAACATGGGTGCTCACAACATGGGTGCTCACATGGGACCTCACAACATGGGTGCTCACATGGGTGCTTACAACATGGGTGCTCACAACATGGGACCTCACAACATGGGCCCTCACAACATTGGTCCTCACAACATGGGTGCTCACAACATGGGTGCTCACATGGGTGCTCACAACATGGGTCCTCACAATATGGGTCCTCACAACATGGGTGCTCACAACATGGGTGCTCACATGGGTGCTCACAACATGGATGCTCACAACATGGGTCCTCACAACATGGGTCCTCACAACATGGGGTCCCATGGTATGGCTGGCTCACCTCGGTCCGACTGGACGTAAGGCAGATCTGACTGACGCAAAACTAGAGCTGATTGACGCACCTGCCGCTGTAGTGACCACAAACTGGTTGACGCATCTGGCGCAACACGCCTGGAAGCGTCTATCCCAAAAGTGAGCGAGTCTGATGCTGAGAGAGAAGAGAGAGAGAGACACACACACAATATTCTCTCACTAAAATTAACAGCTCTTCTCCACAGTAAGTATAGTGAAAATTATGTTTTAAAGTCCAGGAGTCAGAGGGGCGGCGGTGGCCTGCTCCGCTGCACGATTCTCTTCCCTGTGTGCGGCCTGGCTTAGCATCCTCTACACGCTGCTGTTTGAGGGACGTAGTTTCTTTATCAAGTGTATCTTCTGCGTGTGCGTACGTGTGTGCGTGTACGTGTATGCATGAGTGTGTGCGTGTGCGTACGTGTCCTTGTGTACGTTTATGTATGCATGTATAAGTGTGTGCCCGTGTACTTGCCTGTCTGTACTCATTTTTTGTGGGTACGGGAGTTAAGTCACAGCTCCTGGCCCAGCCTCTTCACTTGATGCTGGTTGGATTTAATATCCCCTAGGCTCGTAGTCCCTGCCATACCTTTCTTAAAACTATGTACAGAGCCTGCCTTCACTGTTCCTTTCTCCATGACATTCAACTTCCTGACCACCCTCTGGCTGAAGAAATACTTCCTAGCATCCCTGGACTCATCTGTGTCTTTAACTTTCAGCGTCGCCTCTCAACTGTCTATCCCTGTTCACGTAATCAAATCCTTTGAGTATTTTGTATGTCATTATCATGTCTCCCCTGGTCCTTCTATCCTCTAATATCGTCTTGTTCAATTCCTTTAATTTCTCCTCGTAGTTCATTCCCTTTAGTTCTGGGACAAGTCTTGTTTTATGTCTTTGCACTTTTTCCAGTTTCGTAACATTTATAATCAGGTCTGGGTTCCATGCTGGTGCTGCATACTCTAATATGAGCCTATTGAAATTCCTGAAGGCTGCTTTTAGATTTGCCAGACAAGCATTGGGTGCAGAGGTTATTCGATCTTCTGGTAATATACTCGTCGCTATGCCCATCTTAAGGTCTTACTCCTTGAATGATGTCTGTAAGTAGGAATATATGTCTTCTAGCGTGCCGTTCATATATCCCAGAAACAGCAGTGGTTCTAATACCGATCCTTGAAGAACACTACCAGTTACACATTATTCTAACATCTCTTTGTTACCTTCCCGTAAGATACTCCCTGACTCCGCTGAAGTGCATTCCTTGCTATTCTTGCCTGCCTCTCAAGTTTATATTGAAATGTCGCAATCTACCTACCCTTCCTTCTCCTTCTTCACCTCAGTCACTCTGTCGTAAACTCCGGCAGTCTGTGAGAGAAGTATTGCTAACTTTAAACTCATGTTGGATATTGTTACGAAAACATCTCTCCCCAAGTGTTCCACCACTCTCCTGCTCGTCTCAATTACCTTTAATAGTACACAAGTCAGTGATACTGGTCTGTAGGTCAACACTTTCTGTCTCCTTAAATACACTGGGATTGCATTTCCTGTTGTCCAGAGATCTCTGGCAAGTGTCCTGTGTCCTTCAATTTTAGCTAGTGGTTGGGATAGTTCTTCTCCCTCTAGCAGAAGCACAAGGTGACACTTTGTCGGGTCACATTGCTTTTCACGTATCCATCTAGTTCAGATTTTTTTTCCTGTATCTCTCTCTGTTGTGTGTATGGTGTCCAGATTCCAACTGTGCTTTTTTTTTTTTTTACTTTTTTTTTTATTTCTAGTGTTGCCTCTTGTTTTCCCCTATAACACTTCTTTCAATTGTTGAGATTTCTACAAATTCATCCGGCTTATTGTGACGTTTGCCTCCATGGCTTATCTACTTTAGCTCTTAAGACTTGTGTTTTATTATAAACGACTTGCAAACGTGTAACTAACGAAACCCCGTGTGCGCTTGGACTCACATCTTTTGGTATTATATACCATTATGTCACAACCTTTCATTTCCCCCATTTCTACTCTCCTGTGCTCCTTCTCCCTTTTATCTTATTCTGTTCTCTGTTTCCAATAATGCGTTTTATGCTCTTGCATTTCCTCTTTTTCTTTTTCTCTCTCTTGTCTCGCTTTACTGTCTTTTGTTCCACAATAATTTCCAGTCTTACCATTTCCTTTTTCCCTTTTTCTTTCTTTTTCTCTCTCTCTCTCCCCTATGGTTTAGCCCGTGGGGGACCCTTAAAGTGTGTATATACGGGTTATGTTTTGCGTCTAGACGTGTATGAGACAGTAAAAGCTACTGAGGAAGAGCGATATGTAGAGAAAGAGAGAGAGAGAGAGAGTCTGACTACCAAAAATTTGCGTATATAGTCACCCCAGAGAAGCGTAAAAAAAAAAAGACGCACGAAAGGATGATCGGACCAGATCTCGAATGATTTTGTTGTTATTGTCGTTGTTTTTGTTTAATGTGCAACTTAATGCTGCAGTTGTTGACTCTGAAGGCGTGTGAGAGGGAGGGAGGGAGGGGCGAGGAGGGAGGGGGAGGGAAGGACGAGGGAAGGGGGAGCATCTAGAGAGATGGAGGGAGGGAGAGAAGAGGATAATATTGCAGAAGTGTGATGGGGAATAGGATGATTGAAGATGGATGATGAATAAACCCATAGAAGAGGAGCGAGGAATAGATAGAAAAACTGGTGGATGGAATGAAAGAAGTACATTAGAATGAAATGAAAGAAGAATAGTAGCCAGTAGAACGATTGAAAAATAGATAACTCTACCAGAAGTAAAGAATATGGAGTATGGTACTCCATAACTACCAGAAGTAGAGAATATGGAGTATGGTACTCCATAACTACCAGAAGTAAAGAATATGGAGTATGGTACTCCATAACTACCAGAAGTAAAGAATATGGAGTATGGTACTCCATAACTCTACCAGAAGTAAAGAATATGGAGTATGGTACTCCATAACTACCAGAAGTAAAGAATATGGAGTATGGTACTCCATAACTACCAGAAGTAAAGAAAATGGAGTAAAGATACTCCATAACTCCACCAAAAAAAAAATATGAGTATCGGTATCCCTTTATTAAGAATTAAGAATATGGTATATGGGTTTCATATTTCCTGAGAACGTAAAAATTGGACGTATTCTTTCCGCACTAAAAAATATTGGGGTACCATACTTCTACCGAATTAATTAATTATGGAGAGGTATTAACCACAGAAGTAAGATATGATATGACCCTCTCTGGAGGGAGGAGGATGGATCATAATAAATAAAATTGGAGGTATGGTATCATAACTACAAAGTAGGGATAGGGTGGTACTCAAATAAGGGAATTGGAATTTCATAATAAGAAGGGGTTGGCATGGGTACTCCTAACCCCACCTTGAAGTCATAAGAAATTTTTACTTTGGACTCCCTACCCCCTTGTTTGAGTGAAAGAATACGGAGTAATGGCAGGTCGCCAAAAACCAGCAGTGGGAATAGATAAGTACCCACTAACCATCAGAAGTTAAATTGATGTCCCCACCAACCCTACAAGAAGCTACAAACAGGACTACACTCCACACTTCACCACAACTAACACATTGCAAATTCCATAACCCCCACCCAAAACAAACAATAACAAAAACTCGAGACTTTCATTAATATTCAATTGGCAAATGTATTTCAGAGAGTTAAAAAGAAGTTAGCACTAGGATGGGATACTTTTTGACAAATAATTGTTATTGCATTAGAGGTTTAAACAACGTAATGTATATATGACTGGCAGTGGGAAAAGGGAGCCCAGGAGAACAATAACATGAAATGGGGTTCCGGTACATAACTTGGTAGGGTGGTTAGTGAAGTAATGTGTGTGGTTTATGAGGGGTGTTGTGTCTGTTCCGCCTCAACCATACTTTGGCCCCTTCACTAAATCTTTCACCCCTTGCTAGATTTTTCTTATGTTTTATGTTCTGTACTAACGCATACGAATTTAATGGCATTGCCACCACCAGCGTGCCTAGATGGTCATAACACGTCACCAATTACCTTCTACAATCTGCTCTTATCTTGTGGCTGCCAACCGCCACAACCCAAACAACCAACACCCACCACTACTCACCAATTCACCACAACTACCACAATGCAATCATACCATAACCACCACTCGCAACCACAACAACTCACCTAATCGTATCACATTTTGCTCACCACAATTCACCCGGGCAAAGTACAGAGAGAGAGGAGAGAGAGAGAGAGAAGAGAAGAGAGAGAGAGAGAGAAGAGAGAGAGAGAGAGAGAGAAGAGAGAGAAGAGAGAATTCCCGACCTATGTTACCGGCAGCTGGGAAAAAGAGAAACCCCAAAAGAAAAATAAACAAAAAAAAAGGGCCCCCGGCATAACTGTGTTGTGTTGGGGTGTGTTGTGTGGTTGTGTGGTGGTGTGGTTTTGTGTGTGTGTTGGGTGTGTGTGGTGTGGTGTGTGTAACCGATATATTTCGTGCAGTTAAGTAATCTTTATTTTTATTAATAAAATTTCTTATGTACATTATACTGTACTGTTCTTTCTCTATATTTCTCAATAAGTTGACAATGCAGCATACAGTGTTCTAGATGGTGATAATGCTGTCACCATATTTTACGTGATTAGCATTTAGTCTGATCATTATCTGTGTGGCTGCCTTCAAGAGGGAGCTGGACAGATACCTAAAATCAGTACCCAATCATCTGGGCTGTTGTTCGTACGTTGGACTACGTGCAGCTAACAATAATAGCCTTGTTGATCAGGCCCTGATCCACCGGAAGTCCTGGTCAAGGACTGGGCCGAGGGGGCGTTGACCCCCGGAATACCCTTCAGGTAGGCAGGTAGACTCTGAGGTGTCTCCCAGACAACCAAAGGTACTTGCAAATAAGCCTAAGCCTGCTACCACATCATCAATCGTCGTCTTCAATTTACAAGTTGCTCCGTAGATACGATTATTTACTTTCATGTTATCATAGTGGGTGACAGAGATACTCGGGCTTCTAACTGCCTTCCTATGACACTCACTTTCGTTAATTATTGGTCCCCTAATATTATTCCTAATGTAAGACACAGATATACCAAAGCTACATTTTACATTTTTCTAGACGGTACTTTCGCTGGATAGCATATCAACTTTATCACGAAGGAATAATTCATTGTGTGATGGAATCCAGGTGTAAATACTCCAGGATCTCCGACTCTTAGGTATTCACACCCGGCTTCTCCAGTAACCATATTAGTCATTACGTAAGTCAAGTGCCCTCAAATTACGACATGGAATCGTAATGAAGGAGTTAAATATAGTGTCATTAGTATGGCAAACAATTCAGTTTGCAGTGAAGACTGCCAGTTAGTTGTTAATTCTTATGCCTTACACAGCATGGTTGCTGTACACTCCTGCTCAGATCCATCAGTCTTGTATATTATTTGTGACGTTATTATGTAACCATATAAATATATTGGCAGTAGTATTAACTAATATTTGTAGTGTTCTAGGATGGATGAACTAGCAACACTGTGGCTAGAGCAAGTCACAAGTAACTCAGGAATTATATGTGAAAGGAGTGGTAGTAATTTCGGTTCGTCCCTGACCATTATCAAGACTTGTTAATGGTCTAGGAAGAACGGAAATGACATCTAGTTTGGCAAGTCCCAGAACCGAAACCTTTCCAGTAAAATGTCGCAGTGTTTGCATCAGGGCCGCGTGCCAAAGTATTGGTATCGGAGGGTAAAAAATACTGTATCGTCCTTCCGTACCTTGCATTTCTTTGTCGTCCAGTTTTCTTTCAATTTTGTGCCTCTTATTATCTAATAATTTAACCAGTGTTGGCAGCATTAACTAACTGATGCACCTCTTCACCACCAGGGTTGCCACCTCTGCCGGATGTGATCCTCAGCAACACTCCTCCTCCCTCACCACTACGTCGAGCACACTCCTACCTCTCATTCTTCCCTGAGAAGCCCACCCACGCCCTTCCCACGCCTCCCCTGGCCCCACCTGCCCTCGACACGCCCCCACTTACGCCCTCAGAGACCCACGCCCGCGCCGCCTCCGTCGAACACATTCAAGAAGTCCGTCGTAGATTACAGAATGACCACCCGGAGCCACAGTCACCCCACACCCTTCCCCAGCTCTCCTGGCCCCTGCCTCGCCCCCAGGAAGAGGGCAGCCAGGAAGAGAGGGAAGGAAACCAGGGAGCAGAGGGAGAGAGGGGTGACGACGAGCGTCGCTGGAGGATGGTGGGACGGGATCTGCAGAAAATAGCTGACGAATTTCAACTCCACCATGGCAAGGTACGTCCCACTGGACAATAGATATCAGCACCTTCTTGTTCTCTTTTGCAATCCATGTCCACCTGTTGACCGTGTCCACCTGTTGGTCATGTCCACCTGTTGGTCGTGTCACCTGTTGGCCGTGTCCACAGGTGGACCGTACAGCTGTGCTAACTCATAAAAATGATAAGGCATAGGGACGGTCTCCTACCACCATTACCACTACTACTACTGCTACTACCACAACTACCTCTACCACCACCGCTACTACTACTGCTACTATTACTACGACTTTGCCTTCTTATTACTATTACGACTACTATCACTATAACTTCTGTAACAGATTTCTATACTACTATTATTACTACCAATATTACGATTGCTATCACCACCACTTTTGTTACTAATACCACTATTACTGTTACCTGTACTAACCACATCACCACACCACCACCACTACCACCACTACTACTACTACTACTATCGCTCAACATTCTGTCTTGCTAAAGCTAATATTTACGATGTGTTTGTTCAGCTGGCTCTTCAGTGGTGAATGACATGAGTGTATGATAAGGCAGGTGGTGACATGAGTGTATGATAAGGCAGGTGGTGACATGAGTGTATGATAAGGCAGGTGGTGACATGAGTGTATGATAAGGCAGGTGGTGACATGAGTGTATGATAAGGCAGGTGGTGACATGAGTGTATGATAAGGCAGGTGGTGACATGAGTGTATGATAAGGCAGGTGGTGACATGAGTGTATGATAAGGCAGGTGGTGACATGAGTGTATGATAAGGCAGGTGGTGACATGAATGTATGGTAAGACAGGTGGTGACATGAATGTATGGTAAGACAGGTGGACACATGGGTGTATGATAATGTAGGTGTGAGCGAAATATGAGAGAGAGAGAGAGAGAGAGAGAGAGAGAGAGAGAGAGGCAGCAGAGAGGAGAGAGAGAGAGAGAGAGAGAGAGAGAGAGAGAAAGAGAGAGAGAGAGCAGAAGCAGCAGCGTGTACTAAGACAAGTATCAAGACAGTTATGTAATCGGCAGAGATAAAATCCTCACGTGCCCAGCCTGGAGCTCCGTGACGTCACACGGTGATACAAACAAGCGAGCCTGGGGTATAGGCAGGTTGGGGTATAGAAAAGGGGTACAGAAGGGAGCACTGGGTCCAGATATAATGGGAGATGGGTGTGAGGAGGGAGGAGAGATTGTCTTTATGAACCCATAAATAATTACCATTAACATGATAGTTTTTGTTGTATAATAATCAAAAAAGTATAATTTAACGTATAAATTTAGTCACTGTAATAGTTTCTTGCTTTATATTATTCTGCAATTATTTTGATTTTGTATATAATCTATTTTGTTATTATTGTAGTTTATTATTATTATTCACAATGGCAGAATATACACGTTGAGAGGTATATTTCTCTCAGTATATATACACAGAGTTTACTTTAGTCCATATTTTTAAGGTTATAGTATCCCTGACAGATGATAACATGTGACATGCAGCCTCAGTGACCCCTCTTGTAACTGATAAGCTCAAAGTCCCAGTAACCCAATGTTTCTTCACGTTATAACCTGTTGTGTTTGTGGTATCCCTTAGGTGGGCGTCAAGCGTGAGAGTGAGGAGGAGACGCTGAACCTGTCTGTGCCTGTGGCCCTCACCAGATGCCTCTCAGCCTCCATCCTCTTCCTGGTGTGGTGGAGACTCTTCAACAAGTTCCACTGATCATGCAACCCTGCACCGTCCTCTCCTTCCTGTGCGGATTTCTCCGGTGCCACTCTGGGATCAGCCGGGAGGACTTGCTTAGAGTTCCTCTGTGGCAGCAGTTGAGGAACTCAGGTTCCTCTTCAGGAGGCATTTCAGGAGACTGGCCTCGTATTTCGCGCCTCCAGAGTCCTCGACGGGGACTTCCGTTATTGATCTGCCACTACCCTGGCGTCTTTCACAATAATAGATTTAAATAAGTTTCTCACAAACATTCTCAAAGAAATTTCGCTCAGTTCTCCGATGTCACCAGTGTTGCAGATATCCCAAAAGCTGAAGTCAGTTCCCGAAAGACTGGCAACGATTGGATTGGCCAGGGATATTTCCTGTTGGCTGTTTCCCGTTCACAGCTAGTGTAGGAGAACCGGCCTGGGCCGAACAGTGCTCAAAAACCGCTTGTCGGTGTTCTCTGAAGGACCGAGTGTGAGCGGGTAGTGGGCATTTGGTGCCCACAAAACTTGGTGTAGCTTTATCAAAGGTAAACGACGGATCTCATTCGCCAATAGTATTTGTGCACACCGCTTCGACCCTCTGGGTCACTGTAAAGGGGAACGTCTACGTCTACGCCAGACGTCGTTGTCTACGCCAGGCGTCGACTCGAGTAGTTTCCTTGAGCGGTGAGGTTGTAACGAAAGGCAGGATTTTGATCCCTTTCAGTCCCCTTTTTTCTCCCCTTTTATGTATATATTCTCAAACTGGACTTGGACCTTCTTAGGATTCCAACTGGAAATTGGTCTGAATGCTTTATGTAAATACATTTTAAGATGAGTCTCTAATTCCAGCTTTCAGTACACACATGTGAAGCGTTGTATGTGATTCATGCATTGCCATAACGTAAGTTGAATTAAGTTTAATTTGTGGGAACATTTCTGCCATTATTATGGGCATTACACTTGACCAAAATCTTGCCTTTTTTCCGCTTGTGTACATAGCCTAGCCTTACTGATCCTCTAAGTCATAATATTTTTAAGTAATATTTCTCTCCTGGACACGATCAAGCCACTCTCTCTCTGGTATTAAATGTGTCAAACTTCTCTCAGAGTCACTAGCGAGCAGAGACATTAAACGTTGTAATGAGTATGTAAAAAAAATAACGTGTGGTTTGAGAGATAAAGCGTGTCCACGGTCATCAAAGCTATAAGACGTGATAATTATATATGTAAAAAATACTCCGGATGACGGACTCAAGGCTTGAAAAGCGATTGGTTGTTTTGGCGATGAGCGTTATAGTTTTTTCTCTCTAGTAAATAAATCCTGCTCGCTGATTGGTAGCTGATGTTGACCGTGTAGAAGTCGCCAAGTCTTGGGTCCGAATCTGGCTTCTGTAAAGTAATTAAGGCTCTTAAAACAAGTGTAATAAGTACCTTAATTGCTTATATCTGTTTTAGCCTGAGCTGACCTGGCTCTCTATACGAAATAACTTCTCTAAACCGAATTCAAAGTGCTTTAAAAGTATTAATTATTTTTATCTCTTGATAGTACGTCAAAATGCCTAAATGGATAAAACAGTTGAAAAAAAAAATATATGTCTGACTTAATACAATATTCGGTTTACTGAAGATTTTTCGTATTGTCTAGCGGTGTTGCCAGTGATTAATGCGATCCCTTCTACTGAGTGTGTAACTATATGTAAATAGATTTTTTTTTTTACTCATGGATATCGTAGGAGAGATTCAGTACTTAACTATTTTGATTTAACTCGAAGAATACAAGTGACCTTGATCAAAAACAAAGATTTTAAACTGTGTGTTGGAATGGACGGTACACTGGCAACACTGTGAACCCCCTAGTCAGCATTATCAGCAATCAAAATGATCTCCATTAATTCTTTTGGCCAACCTTGGACACTACTGCGTGGTGTGCCTTCGTTTCTGTAAATGAGGTGGAAAAACTTATCCTCACTTCTTATGATGTGATCTTTTGACCTTTTTTTATCGGGGTGGACTGGTAAGCCAGCGAAAGGCCTCGGTCATGTGACCAAAAGCTGTAGTGTGTGGGTCATCATGTGACTAAGTGGTACCAGCGTAAGGAGCAATTTTCATACCTCTTCTGTCTTTACCAACGGAGGCGTGATACAAAGCAAGTCTTAATTTTGGACTGGGCTTAATCAAGTCTCTCTAGATCGAAACTTAAACAAATGTGAAGTGTAATATTACGCGTCTCGTTGCCCCAGTCACCTCTGGAGGGCCGGTCGTTGAGCCAACACCCGCACGAGGAAAAATACTTGCACAAATCACCTCTTACCTCCCCATGACTGTCTTTGCCAGCTGTGTCCTTGCTGTGTCTAGCCATTTTCGTCCAGTTGTGTCCTTTCTGTATCCAACCATCCTAGCCTCCAGCTTTCACAAGACCTTGATTATTTTACACTAATAATTATTTTATTGACGAAAAATTTTCTTGTTTATTATTTAACTAAAAATCATAAACCAATTAAAAAAATTTAATCGATTTTTCTAAATATGAAAATTCACTTGTTTACATTGTGTATTCGTAAAAATAATTATGACACAAGTAATTAAAATTGACAGTACCAGATGCTGGAGTTCCAGAAGACGAGGAGGTGAGAGGAGTCGTTAGAACCAGAACCTCTTAGAAAGTGTTGCGAGAATCGCCCCTACGGCGTCTTAAATGTGCAGGTGTTATCATGGACGTTTAATATTGCCAAACAGATTAATCGTGTAATAGTTTTACCTTCTCGTAGGTCATGAAAGGTACCCTAATTACCTTTGTATTTAAAATCTAATAGTTTAGACTGAGTTATGATCCTGACCTGTAACAGTGGAAGTCTTTTCAGACGTATATATATAAAATATATATATATATATATTATAATATATATATATATATATATATATATATATAATATATATATATATTATATATTATATATATATATTTTATTAAATGATATTTGCTACCTTTTTTCATCATCTCGGTAAATTAAAATTTGCCTCACCTGTCCATGGAGTCCGTCTGGCCTGGGAAGCGACCCTCATTCTCTTCCCCCCCCCTCAAAAAAAAAAACGCCTTTTTTTCGTCTTTCGGTAGATGAGACTTCTCTGCGAGCCTCCTAGATAAACATGTACATAGTCTAGATGTAGTTATTTTTAAAGGTTTGATTGTGGTTGCCATCTGTCTTCGAATATCTGTCTTTTAACTTCTAAAAAAAAACAATAGCACAAAATTCCTTTTAAAAAACTCAAAAACAGCTAAGTATTATTCCGTGTCGAAAAAAAAGCACGAAAAAGACATGTGTAGTAGTGTAGGGACGTGGTGCACTAGTTGGGTGGTGGTGTAGGAGGGCGCACAGCAGGTTACGACGTGTTGTAGGGAGGTGCACCACAAGTTACGTGAAGATGTACGGAGGTACAATCCAGGTTACACTGTATACAGCAGTGTACACCGACAGTGTTGAAGAAAGTGGTTAAATACACACACAAAACACAACACACACACACACACACACACACACACACACACACCACACACACACACACATAAACACAACACGCACACACACACACACACACAACAACACACACACACACACACACACACGCGCACACACACACACACACACACACACACACACACACACACACACACACACACACACACACACACACACACACACACACACACACACACACACGAACACCGCGCGCACACGCATACAGCCAAAGACCATCAGTTGCACGTTTTATCTACAAGAGGCTTTATCCTCGTAGATAAAACGTTGGGTTAATAGAGATGTTTTGCTCTGTGTTGTGAATTAAACGCTTGTCGGCTACACTGAACTTCAACAACAGTATTGAGGAAAACAAATCAGCGCTGGAACACCCTTCGACGTCACGAAATTTCGCTGTGTTGAGAGATCTTGAAGTCTACCATTGAGATTTACACAGAGCGAAACGTTGCCACAATCGAAGCTTGTTCCGCACCTGTTTTCTTTTGGGGGGCAGGAGGGGAGGGGTCAATTCACTTTACACTGCCAAACAGAAGTAATTCTGTGAGTTTTCTACCATAGCCTTAGGAACAACTTGCCTTTTATTTATCAGTACAAGATTTGTACCATTGCCAAATTGTATTTTTCTCAAAATTTCTGGATATAAGAGCTTATTATAACGTCCCAACTGATAATATATATATATTTTATATCATCTTTTTATACCGTGAGTTTTTTTTTTTTGTTTTCTGTTTACGTGTGCAATAAAAAAAAAAATTAGCCTATTTAAAAGTTGTGATTTTTGGAATATTTGTGAAATTTCTGCATATTTTGTTTTTAGTAAAATTCAGATGACCTGATATGGCCTTTGTGGGTTGTTAATGGGGCAGGTATCGCGTCCAGAAGTTGACCTCAATCGGTGACCTAATGGGGACATCTGCCTGACAACTGACCCGAAAAAAAAATCATTAGTGTATAAGATTATCTAAATCAGTTAACCATTATTATATAAAACTTATAATAGAGTGTATTGTATTATATTTATTTCCAAAGATGTATAATTTTTTTTGTTATTAGCGCAAAGAAAACTGTAAATTTTAACTTCAATAATTTATGAAATTATAATATATACATATATGTATATAAAAAAATGGAATTGTATTTAGGCAGTGTCCCCCTGGAGGTCACCATGGTGTAAATACTGGGACCACAGCGCTCCTACGATCAGTGTCTCAAGGGGAGTATATTTGACCAGAGAAACCTGGTGAAGTCGCTTCTAAACCCTTTAAGATATTCATTCGTATATACCCTTGAAGGGCCTGGTTCCTAGAGGCCTCTCGTGTATCCACATGACGAAGGAAAAAACTTTGCAGAGAACTAAGTTTTAATATCTTTGGGTCTTCTTATCAAGTCATCTAAACGGATCGAAATGCTGTCCCATTAAACCCTAGTTCTTCATAGTATATTTTTCTTGGTTTATCACTGACGGCAGAACATTTAGAGCCTAGAAACATGTTCAGGCGCTACCGTCCACAGGAAGGACACATTGTACCACTATCGTCCACAGGATGGACGCAGTGTACCACTACCGTCCACAGGATGGATACATTGTATCACTACCGTCCACCGGATGGATATGGGGTATCTTCCACGACAAAATCTATATCTAATGTGAGGGGCCCACGGCTTCACCAGGGTTAACTGGTCACCAGTGCTCAGGTCTTGAGCACGATTTCTCAAAGTGCTAAAAATCGTCACTACCCATCTTTGTCTTTCAAATTTGTACATAATTTTCATTTTTGTATCTGCAATAAACGGGAATATATGTATAACTGTATTATTCATACCTTAGTATTATATATATAATATATATAATATATATATATATATATATATATATATATATATATATATATATATATATATATATCCCTGCAGGATATGGGGTTTCCTTGATGCCACTAAAAGGCTCTTGGTGCAAGGAATTAGAGCTATCCTCTGCTTCCTTGGCTCAAACCTTATTACCTCTTATTTCCTACAGGTTGTATGACCCCGACTGGTTTAGTGCTTTCTACTGAATATAATAAGAGTTATAACAAAAATAATACTATAATGATGATAATTACGAGAAACAGAAGATGAAGAATTAATAACAATAATAATAATAATAATAATAAATTTATGGGAAATGAAAAACGGGAAGCCATTAGGATAAATAAACAAGACGAAACACTGGAAATAAATGGTATAAAATACCGACACAATGGAAATATAAACACATGTACAGTATAATGTGATCCTTTATTGACAACGTTTCGCCACACAGTGACTTGAAAAAGCCCACTGTCTGGGCGAAACGTTCTCAATAAAGGATCACATTATACTGCATATGTGTTTATATTTCCAAGACGAAACACACTGAGAAAAAAAAACACGAAAAGTAAAGAAATTTCATTTTTTCTCACTGGAACAAGGAAAAAAAATCGTAAAAATAATTACACAACAACAACAAAAAAGAATAAAGGCAATACTGATAATCGAGGGAAGCAAGTAGACAAAACAGAGAAAGAAGGGAAGCAGGAAGACGCCAAATAATGGAGGTAAACAGACAGACACTAGAGAAAGTCGGGAAGAAGGTGTATCAAGTGAATATTTGTTGATGTACTAACAAGAAATAAAAATCTGATTCTGATAATAAATTTCCTGAAGACCTTTGGAGGCGTTTACAGTTGTGACAAAAGCTCGCAAAGGTACCGATGTATCACAGTATGTCTCTCGGTTACAATGTACAACATAACGTTACTGTGTCTCCACGATATATGGCACGCTGTGATTGTGTCTGGGTCACAGTGGCACCATTATTACTGTGTCTGGGTCACACTTGACACCATTATTACTGTGTCTGGGTCACATTGACACCATTATTACTGTGTCTGGGTCACAATGACACCATTATTACTGTGTCTGGGTCACATTGACACCATTATTACTGTGTCTGGGTCACAATGACACCATTATTACTGTGTCTGGGTCACAATGACATCATTATTACTGTGTCTGGGTCACAGTGACACCATTATTACTGTGTCTGGGTCACACTTACACCATTATTACTGTGTCTGGGTCACATTGACACCATTATTACTGTGGTCTGGGTCACATTGACACCATATTACTGTGTCTGGGTCACACTGACACCATTATTACTGTCTGGGTCACATTGACACCATTATTACTGTCTGGGTCACATTGACACCATTATTACTGTGTCTGGGTCACATTGACACCATTATTACTGTGTCTGGGTCACATTGACACCATTATTACTGTGTCTGGGTCACATTGACACCATTATTACTGTGTCTGGGTCACAATGACACCATTATTACTGTGTCTGGGTCACATTGACACCATTATTACTGTGTCTGGGTCACATTGACATCATTATTACTGTGTCTGGGTCACAATGACATCATTATTACTGTGTCTGGGTCACATTGACACCATTATTACTGTGTCTGGGTCACATTGACACCATTATTACTGTGTCTGGGTCACACTGACACCATTATTACTGTGTCTGGGTCACAATGACACCATTATTACTGTGTCTGGGTCACAATGACATCATTATTAGTGTCTGGGTCACATTGACACCATTATTACTGTGTCTGGGTCACATTGACACCATTATTACTGTGTCTGGGTCACATTGACACCATTATTACTGTGTCTGGGTCACAATGACACCATTATTACTGTCTGGGTCACATTGACACCATTATTACTGTCTGGGTCACAATGACATCATTATTACTGTGTCTGGGTCACATTGACACCATTATTACTGTGTCTGGGTCACATTGACACCATTATTAGTGTCTGGGTCACATTGACACCATTATTACTGTGTCTGGGTCACATTGACACCATTATTACTGTGTCTGGGTCACAGTGACACCATTAGTACTGTGTCTGGGTCACAATGACACCATTATTACTGTGTCTGGGTCACATTGACACCATTATTACTGTGTCTGGGTCACATTGACACTATTACTGTGTCTGGGTCACATTGACACCATTATTACTGTGTCTGGGTCACATTGACACCATTATTACTGTGTCTGGGTCACAGTGACACCATTATTACTGTGTCTGGGTCACAATGACACCATTATTACTGTGTCTGGGTCACATTGACACCATTAGTACTGTGTCTGGGTCACAATGATATCATTATTACTGTGTCTGGGTCACAATGACACCATTATCATTGTCTGGGTCACAATGGCATCAATGTCACTGTGTCTGGGTCACAGTGACACTATGTGTAGGCTTCCAGTTATACCTGGA